AAAGAGGTAGTGATTTGAGATACAGAGATTAAGTTAAAATTCAGAGATGGAACTATAAGAACAGAATTTAAATTCAGTTTATCAAGAGAGAATGAACCTTTACCAATAACACTAGCTTCTCTACCATTGACTGTAGACACAACAGATTGTTCAGATGGTTTTAGGTCGAATGTAGTATTAAAAGACATATGATCAGTTGATCCAGAATCAATTATCCATGTACTTGACCCAAAAGCGACAGATTTACAGAACAATTTACCTGGTGGATCCGAAGAGATGTGTAAAGTGAATCCAAGTTTCTCCATCTTTTTCATTTGGAGGGCGTATCTCAATATCAACCTCTGGGATGGGTTGAGGCTTCGTCTGTACCACATATGCGTATGAGGCATGCCCCACAGCCCCCTTGAAAGGCAGCTTACGCGGAGGCGCAGCCGCCATGTGCCGGACAGATGACCTAGGTTTTTTAGAGAGAATAGTTTATTTTTCAATACAATACGACCTCAGAATGTAAGAACGATACCAACTATTATCAGAAATTGTTTCAAACAATTAAAAGTGGTGAGCTAACGTAATTGTCGTAGAAAAACAATCACCAAAACCTTCAAAGCAAGGCAATGGAAGGTACCAACATTTGATTTAATAAAGTCTTCTTCAAATTAAATCAAAATCAAGTCCAAGTTTCGAAGTGCAAATCCGAAAAAAAAAGGACTGAAATTTGACCCAGATCTATGGTGCTGTAAAATTGGGACACATACTACGAGATAGTAATCATGCGCGGGGATACTAAGGGAAAATTTCTGTCCATTCAACGTGAGGTATCTCCATATGCTTTGATGTATGACTACATTAGAAAGTTTTAAATTTGAAGTGGAAAAAATAATAAAGAATTGACACGGTAGTTTAGAAATCTTTAAGAAAATGAGAAAAGAGAATACTGTGTAAATAAATTGCTAATAATCAACTTGTCAAAAATCCAATCAGATGACTGGTTCGACTAGAAATAAAAATGGCCCAAGTTAAGGCTCCATTTAACAAATTTAAAATTCTTTTATAAACATCAGTAGCTGTTGATCCCATAAAAACGTGTTGATAATAAATGATCACTAATTAGGAATATGTAATTGAAATTAATATTTGATTTTAATTAAAAATTTTAATTATTTATAATTTTTTTGCCAAATGGATTTTAAATTTTTTAGAACTCATAAATAAACCCAAACATAAAAATTAATCCCTTGCACACGTATACATGCTACTGAAATCATGTCCTGGCCATATAAAATGGAAACTGGTACACTTGCGTTTGAGATGTTCATGAAAACAAAGCTAATGTCCATTCTAGAAACTTAGGGTTTATTCGTATATAAGTTATGTTTATCTAGAAACATTAACATATTTTTTAGACTTGGACTTATATAAAGTTAATTTTCGAGGCTGTCCAGATTCTTCGAATTTTCTGCACTATTGATCTCAAATTTTCTCTTTATCTACTTAGTAGAATACTTGATCATCTATTTTAAATCTTTTTATATATCAAAGTGTATACTTATTCGAAGCTATAATATAATATTCTTTGAGAATATTGGAACATTGAATGTTATGCTCATCAAGAGTAAAAACTAATATTCTTCTAAAATATTAACAAAATAGAAAGTTATTTCTCCTCACAAATTACAACCCAAATTGAGTTGTTTAATTTGTGCTTCTTCAAAAGCAATAAAATAATACAAACACTAAATTTACTTTCAAGCAATGCTACAATATTCTTTTGAAATATTTATTTAGATTATTTCTTTTCAAAAATAATAATAAAATATTCTTTTGAAATATAATACTGAAATATTGAACAAAAAAAATTACATTCAAGTAAATATTTATCTATCATAAATTGGTATAATCAAATCGAATAAATATACCTCTTGGTTTCAATTTAAGGGGGTGTTTGGGATTGAATTTCAAATTCTACAGTAAATCTATTCTCATTTTCAACCACACATTTTTCAATAAAATAAAATTTTCCATCACGTCAATATTCAAATCAATTCTCATTTTTAACCACATATTCTTTAATAAAATAATATTTTCCATCACATCAATAATTTTTTCTTCTTTTTCAACCACACATTTTCCATCATATCACTATTCAAAAATCAATTCTTCCCCCAAGAATCCCTCCCAAACAAGCTCTAAAGTTGAAAGAATACTAACATTTTCTTTTAGCAGAAAATAAGATTTTCTTTGCGCAGAAAAGAAGATATTTTTTGTAAACTCAATTGGCTAAAATTTATTATCTTTCTTTGATTAAATGATTAAAAAAAAAAAATTCTACCTCAACTAATTAGAGATTTGTAAGCAGACAGAGAAATAAATTTTGTTAACTCAATTGGCTAAAATTTCGAGATGATAACGTGTTATAAACAAGAGAGAAAATAAAGAAGTCAATAGACTTGTGTGTATTTTATTAAGAACCAAAACTATATTTATAAGATGATGTAGGGTATAATAGAATGTAAATACTACTTTATTTACAACAATTCTTCTTTTTTTTTTTTTTCTTATCAATTATCATTCTTTTACATCCATATTCGTTTAATTCTAAATTTTCTCCTAAGATAATCAATAAACAAACATAATTAAGGGTTTATTTGACCTCCATCTTTTAGAAGAATATGTTTTGTAATAGTGATTTTTTTTTAAAAATGTGGTTGAAAAGTATGAAAAATTTTGGATTTATGTATAAAATAATTTATTAAGAAAATATTGTTGAAAATAGGTTTTTTATCTTTCTATTTATTTAAAAGAATTTTTATAGAATAGGGCTCAAACATGGGCTGAATATAAAGGTCATAATAATCACTCCCAATTCCTAAATACAACTTTTAATGGTCAAGATAAATGTAATTCAACATCAATATTACATTAAAAATTATTGCTGGATGATTAACGACATGTACTATATTTAAAGCCTTGGTGACAAATGGGCGTGCCTTCTCAAGAAAATCCTTTGTAAATTCACCTACAAACAAAACAAATCTCCTCACTCTAATGACTTTATGCAATTTACCTACAGCGAAAGAAATCTCCTTATCCTAATAGCTTTATGTACCTTCTCAAGAAAATCTTTTGTAAATTCAGCTACAACGAAACAAGTCTCTTTATCTAATTAGCAATTTACAAGGAAATAGTGATGAAAGCAATAATTCAAATTAAGTTTTTAATTACTAAAGGGTTCGAAGGTGAAATTCATGTGGGAGTTGAAGTTGGAGGGGATTGAAGAAGAGAACGAACTTGACGAGAGCCTAAAATCAAATTTTAAGTACATAAATTAGGTTCGGACAAAACTCCTAAACCGAATTGGACCCTAACCGAATCGAATCGAACCGAACGGTTCTTCTTAAATTAAACACTCGAATGAGTATCTAAATCAAAAACCGACAGATTTGGTTCGATTTTCGGTTCTAGACCTCGAACTGAAAAACCGAATAAAAACTGAATCTTCCTAATTTTTTAAATTATTTTTAATTTTAAATAAGTCAAATTATTTTATTTTTTTCTACATGAATTTGCTAACTAATTAATTTAGCTCAAACATAAAATATAATTTTACTATTTTCAGCCAAACCCAATTGAATTAAATTAACCTAAATTTTACCCAAATCTCTTATTCTATCATAGTATCGTTTTTATCGTTCTATTATTGTGAATTCGTTATCTTCCTCTTGTGATTTTAACAATCATAACACAACAAAGAAATGTGCAAAAGATATCACTAGATTGAACTACGTTATTCTATAAGAATTAAGATTGAACATGTTATAGTCGAATTAATGTAATATTGTTATAAATATAAAAAAATTAATTATTGTACGAAAGCTGTGAATCGAATGGAACGAAACTCGAACGATCCATAATAAAATTTGGACCGACAGTTCCACTTACTAAATACCAGAAAATTTCGATCCGGTTCGATACCGAACCATGTCCATCCCTAACATAAATACTACTACTACTACTTCCATTCAAATCTATCTCCTTCAAACTCAAGCCAGCAACCCCAGATATATAGAACACCGATAACATACCTTCAAAAGCTCTTTCTTAAGCTCAAAATTCTCTATACTTCAGATATATAGAACAATGATAACAATGGAGAAATGAAATTTTTGGAATCCTTTATTTTCCCTCTTATATATAGAACAATGATAACAATGGAGAAATGAGATTTTTTTAATCCTTTATTTTCCCTCTTCTATTTAAGTTGATAACTTCTTGTGTTAGTTTATTTTCAGTTATATGAGCTTCTTAGTTTAGCAGGGTGGTCTTCTTACTGAGATTCAATTTGACATCGCTTTCTTTTTCCAAATTCACCCGATTATTTATCTGAGATCACTATTTTCCCTCTTTGGGGGTCGAAAACTGCAACTCCGTTGAAACCTAACCTTATGTCAATGCAATAAATGTGTTAATAGAATTCAAAATTGTAGTTTCACACTCTGAAAGATCCAACATCCAATATCCAGACGAGTGGGTGGAAGAGGTGAGATTTCACGAGTAAGCTTCATAGACGATTGAGTGACAAAGACTATACCCAAGTCCATCCAAGCTATACATTTCTTAATCATAAGAGTTTCTTCCGAAGTTCCTATAACAATCCAATCAAAGCAAAGATATCAGGGGACCCAATAGCATCCTATAAAGAGATATAACACTTGACTGTAAATAACGAAGAACAGCATGGAGACGAAAGCGTAATCTCCACAATCCATCAACTGTGTTACAATTTCTACTAAATGTGAAATCATTTGAAATACGGAGTTGAAAACATGCACGTATCTAAGTTCCCACGAAACTCCATAGGCCATAGCTACTAAAATTAGGAAGTAAATTTACAAGGGGCTCACGGATGCATAAAAGAAGCAGCTAGTACCAATATTCCCTTGAATCTTGTAGAATCGAGGTTCCATTCCTCTGTAAATAGTATCCATTTACATTGAAGCAACTCACATATCAGATACGGACCACAAATATGCTTCCCTCTCTGTAGCTCTTTTATCATTCATCCTTTTGAACAGTTCCTTCTCAGTACCTATAAGATGCAGGAAAAAAACCATGATAGATATAGAGAAACAAATGAAATATTTTGAAGGTCTATCAATATTATAAATCTAATTTTCACTTGGGCATGCATAACGTTATAGCATATCTATGTATTTCGATAGTGAAAAAGGTTGCTTTTCTCATGATTTTTGGATAGATTACATTTTTCTTCCTTTAAGTTGAAAAAAGTAGCTCAAAAAGTGCTGACATTGCAGTAAAAATAACTTATTTTCATTCTATCAATCTAAAAATTTATAAATTTTAAAACGTGTTTATTTACTTATAAGTAAACTTTTTAAACCAAGCCAAACAAACTCTAAACATATTAGCAGGTGCTGGACCTAAAAACAGTAAAGCCACGATACAGAAACCATCAGTGAGTAGAAAGGGACGAATTTTGCTTCAGATTGGAATTACAGCCAAAAATTAACACTTAGCATTCAATAAAAGATGGTGAGTGAGTTTACCATTACTGCGGTCAACACCATCCCAGTGTCTCCCGGGTTTAATCCCATAACGGTTTGGAGCGGCATCCAGTCCTCTTCTTATCCAGCTGTGACTTGGGATTTCCTGGGGAATTATGAATCCCGATTCTTTCATCTTTGCACCCTCACCTAGATCTGGAAGTTGCTCCAAATGCTTTTTCTAAAACATCATACGTAAAATGTAACGTAAAATGTAATATGTACTGGAGATCGAAGGATAGAATAAAATATAGAACTAATCAATCTCAGCTGAACAAATAGAAGTGCCTCGAATAATTCTTAATGGAGAACAAATATAAGTAACCTACTTTGACCAAATGCGCCATAGGATCGCCCCATCTGACTTTTTCCTTCAACATTTTATCAAGTTCTGGATCATCCCTAAAAATTCAAAGTTGGCACAAGGTCAGAGGGCAAATGCAAATCACTTGACTAGACACTAGGCACTTGAAACTACTTTGGAGTAAGAAAGAGGACAATAATCATATAATCATATACATAAACTGATAGCTCTAAACAAATCATTGACACATATGCGAAGTACAACTAATTTTGAAAAGTATCTCCCAATCTTAGTTCATCCATTTCGTTTGTGCATGTATCTCAAAATACAGCCAGGAACTTGAGGCACTTTCAAACGAAATAACATGCTAACTGTTAATTCAGTAATTTATCAAATTATTTTACACGTCCTCTTAACATCACAAAGCCTAACAAATAAAACAATTAACACTATTGTATCTCTACTATTACCAGCTCCTTGCAAATGGTTTATCCTTCTCAACTTCTAATTCTTGCAGTCTAGCCTCAGCTTCCCGCTTTTGAGCTAATCCTTTACCCCATTCCAGCTTTATTTCCTGAATGAAAAATACAGTTAATCCACAAAAGACGAGTAATATATTGTGTCATTCCCTTCCAATGAAAACACAATATGTGGTCTTTCATAGTGGATAAAATCTATAAACTGAATCAAATCAAACCATGGATGCTATATAATGGTCATTGCAAAGATTATATATGATGAGATAATAACAACTATTTCACAACCACTCAAGGCAATCTTATATTCAATTGTTTTTCAGAGTAGGGAAAACCAAAAGGTTGATGAAGCTACTGAACAAAGATCAAGACCAAGCCTAGCTAGAATATGCGTTGAAATGGATGTCAATGGCCCTAGATTGGACAGATTCGGGATTAGAAATGATCAATTTGGAATCTGACACACTCATATACTAAAAGGTGCCCAATTATTGCTCAATGTGCCAACACCTTGGTCATGAAGCTAAACAGCCTTTGGAGTAAAGAATGTGAAAATGAACAAGGGAAGGATGAACTGAAGGATAAGGAATAATTGATCATGCTAAGAAAACACTAGTAAGAAGAGTGATTATGTGAAAAAAATGATTCTGAACAAGGGAAAACTATAATTGATGACCCAATTACTTGGAAGAAGGGGATATTCCAAATTCACAAGACAGAGGAGAGTGCTCTGGTATGTCCAAAAGGTGTTCGATGAATTGCCTCAGAAAGAGGAAAAACTTCTTGATGCCTCTAATCTCCCGATTCAAGAAAACATGGAAGAACCTCCGTNAATTGCCTCAGAAAGAGGAAAAACTTCTTGATGCCTCTAATCTCCCGATTCAAGAAAACATGGAAGAACCTCCGTCTGTGGAATCAAACATGCCGAACACTGATTTTTGTTTTTATTCCCAAAGAGGAGCATGATCAAAATGCTAATCAGCTATTGGTGCTCCATGAGGCAAAAGGATTCTATTAACAAAGTACAATGCAGAAAATATTCAGGAGGGGATGTAGAAGGCATACAACAAAGAACATCTGAGGAGGGTTTTACAAGTGTGGTTAATTTGGGGAAAAAAATGGGCTTTCCAGGGAGAACAAAAAATCAAAGTAACTAAGTCCTAAAATTACTGGGAAGATAGTATTACAGAAACGTGTCTCTAGTCTATTTCAATCCACATGATAAAGTTCAACTTCATAATTGGATGGAACTCAAGAGGTATTCAAAAAGATCCTTCTATGAGGCCTAAAAGCCTTATCCAAATCTACAGCATTGCTTTACTGATTTCATTAAACACTTTAATTGCTAACTCGAAGATAGATTCTTATAAGTTGCTGTTGAAATAATAATATCTCATACCAAATTTCTGGAGAATTAACTCAATTCATGAATATTAACGTCACTTGCTTAAAAAAGGTTCAAAAATTCATCTCTAAGGTGTAAGCTAAATGTATACCTCAGTCAAGGGCAGAAGGCAAAATTACAGGATGGCTCAAGTACGATAGGCCAGCTAGCATATGGAAAGGGCCTTGGCTTATTGGGGGGGAGACTTTTGACACCGTTACCTCATTTGATGAGAGAGGAGGGAGTAATGACCCAAAAGCTAGAGCCATGGATGATTTTGCAGCTATGCTTCAAGATTGTGGGATTGATGAATATCCAATAGAGGGACAACATTTCTCATGGACGAATGGTAGGATGTGGCAAAATCTTCACAGAATATGATAAGCCCCTCCATATGTTTTACATACTCTAGAAGAGCCAAGAAGGGTGGGATAACTGTAGGTGGGAAAGGGAAAACAGAATCTGTTGAAGTCAAGTGGTGGGGGGAAGTCAGTTGGGAAGTAGCTACAAATAAAGGTAGATGGGTAGGAGGTAAAAAATGAGTAGAAAGGAGATAGTGTAGTCTTTCTTTTTTGTAATTTGCTTCTTCAATTCAATAAAAGTTCCTCTCTTAATTCCTCTTTTTTGTACAGCAATCCATCCTTGAAATTGGAATCCTATCAAATTGGTATTAGAGCAAGTCCATCATGATGGCCCAGAATAAGTCAAAAAACTAGCGGAAGCCATGGAGAAAGAAATTGAGAAACTGAGATCAGAGATACAACATTTACCTAGTTTGGAACGATCAGTGTAACACATCATACAAAGCATGACAAAGATGCTGCAGTCAATGGAAGAAATCCAGAAAAATATGGCTGTGTTTCTTCTCCCTAAGGCAGCAATGAAACGGGTACTTGAAGGAGAGGATTCCAATATTATGGAAAAGGGGGCTACCTCTTAATATCCACCAGGGACCCTTGATGGATCAACGGGCACAAGATAGAGCAAAATGGCCGGAAGAAATAAGAGAGAAGTTAGAAGTCTTAGTTTTTTCTCCGTAGGAGGTTTCTGAACCAGAATTGCCATAGCCAAACAAATAGGAGACGATGACGATGATGACTAGCAAACAAGAGAAATGTGTGAATGGGCTTAAGACGGGAATTCATATGGTAAAACCTGTGGGCCTAGTTTTGAAGATGGCCCAACAAGTGGACTGCAAAGTTTTACTTAATTAAGTCCTAGGTGAAATGGGCCTAAATAAAGGGAGATGGCCCAACCCAATCACTGTCCAAGTTCCCAATCGCTATTCAGCAATTTTCTGTGGCAGAGCTACAATTGAAAATGGATAAGGGGTTAAGCCCCTACAGCGATGAAAAATACTCACTGAGATACGAACATGTTTCAGCAAACACAAACATTATTCGACATATACCTCAGCTCATTCAGCCAAATGACAACCATAACCTCAGTAGCGAGTCAGATGAAGATGAAATCAAAGTGGTTTTCTCATTAAATGAAGACAGTTCAACATGTCATGATGAATTTTTGCCTATTTCTACCAAACTTGCTGGAATACAACTATATCAGACCTAGTAAAAGCTGTTAAAGATTTGTTTAGAGAAAACTTCTCCCATGAGGTGTCAATGCCACTTCAATAGTAACGACCCTAAGAAAAAAGTAGCTAAATCAGTGGAAAGGCTTTAGGCTAATAAGCCTTTGCAATATATTCAACAAAATTATAATAAAACTCTTTCTTCGAGACTGAATAAAGTACTGTCATAATCATCTCCCTCAATCAAAGTATATTCATTCCTGGCAAGAAAAGAAGCACACAATCTTTTTTTAAATATATCAGGAGTAAATCAATCCCAACTAAAGTTCCATTCTTCATTTGGAATTTGTGACATCAATGACTTCATGTAGATTAAATAATTAAGAAGAGAATGAATGTACATTTGGCTTCCATGTGCCAACGCTGCGGAGGGGAGGAAATCATTGCTCATGTGCTTTTAAATGGTGCTGTGGCAGCAAAGAATGGAACCATTTTAACCAAATCCTTCAGATACAACCCCTAACTTTGAGCATGCTATAATAATATTCCAGTTCTTGAGATTTATTTGTCAATCTAAATCTGGCTACATCCAAACTATTATCCCCTTCTAATATTTTGGTTTTATGGATCGAGAGAAACAATTCTAAGCATTTCGATATTATGATGCAAGCCATGAGGGTGATCAAAAGAGTAGATCATCTGTTGAACCTCACGAGTTTAGCTGGACTCATATTTGGGCATCACATCTAGAAGAATGGTATGCCATATGGAAAGCAATTAAAAAATCCCAGAGGTTCCTGCAATTTCGCTAAATAGTGGAAACCACAAATTGGGACTATAAAATTAAACATACATGAAGGTCTAAAACATGGGATCCTTCCAGCAGCATGAGAGGGAATAGTTATTAGAAATCATGAAGGGAAGGTGCTTAAAGCCCTCTATGATCTTGGGAGTAGAACTAAGAGGGTACACGTCTAACACTGTGTCAAGATCAGGGCTTTAAAGGAGTTTGGGCAGAGGTTGATTCTTTAACATCCATAAAGATCCTTAATGAAAAAGATGCAGGTCCTTAGCATATTCAGTACTTGATAGAACAGATTAGACACCGGAAAAATAAAATGTAGGTTTCTCTAAAACATATCTTGAGGGAAGGAAACTCGAATGCAGATTCTTGCTAATACAGTTGAAAGGGAGAAAACAATTATGATACTTTAACCAGGAGATCTATAAGGCCAAGTCATAGGGCTCATCAATTTGGATAAATAGGGATTACAGAATGTAAGGGTTAGTTGATAGGTTTCTTTATATTGATTGTATTTGTCTTTGTAAGATAGCACAGTGTAAAATGCAATTTCCCTATCTCCTGACAATCACATTTTCGCAAAAATCCCTGTTGGTTTGCATCAATGAAGGCTAGGAAAAGGAGAGAGACACTAGCATAGCTCACCTCACTATTTGAAAAGGATAGCAACCAAAGGGGTTATTCTTCCACTGTAAATGTCTTAGCAGATAATATGATTTATTGGAACTATGGTCTATTAGTTTTCAAGTACACAAGTCAAACAAGAAATTTCCTTGCTTGTCCGATTTCTAACAAGTAAGGATGATCTATTGGTTTCATATATACTATAAAGTAGTAATAGGTATCATCTACATCAAGAAAGTTAGATGATTTACAAGAAGCTTGTGCAGTTTGAAAAGGGGTTTTGATTGGTCAAAAAGTATATTAAGAGCCATGTGAGATCAAAGTCTTGTGCAAGTTTCAGATGAGAGAATTATCTACCTTTCTTCATCATTAAATTGAATTTTACTATCACAGACTCACAGCATCCCCTGTCTACTATATATAGCTATATAGCATCAAGATACTCCAATCTATCACTATCACCACAGCTTTCTTGATATTTCTAATTAACAGACTACAGCTAGGGCTGCAAACAAGCCAAGCCAAATACTTGGGGAATTTTCATGTTCATGTTCAAGATCAAGTAAAATCAATATTTTGATGCTCAAGGCTGTCTAAGCATAAAAATCAAAGCTCTAGCTCTAGCTCATGCCTGGGAAAATATGATTGATTTTAAGTTTTCCCACCAAAATAATAAAAGATAAATATAAGATTAATGACATCCGTGAAATAATTAAATATGCTAATTTAATTAATATAGTATTATAAAAATGAAAAGCTAGCTAGCCAACTCTTCTTATTGACTTGATGAACTACTCAGGCTGGCTCAGTCTTTAGAAAGATTGAGTCAAGCTCAGCCTCACTTTATCTAAAAGTTCAAACAGCTTGGAAGCAGGCTCATAACCTATTCCACACCGATACAAAAGGTGGAACAAATTTAAACTTTATAGCTATGTCATGAGCTTCAACTGTGCGTGCGCTAACTATAAATATAATTTTGGTCCATTATAAAAAATAAACAGTATTAGCACCTTGGGCTTTTCTTCTTTCTTGTGCACTTTCTTCTGTGATTTTAAGAACTCGTCCTTCGACATACGCTCTCCTACAATAGCATGTATGTTAATATGTCTGAGGTCAACAAATAATGAAATGTTACTATAAAGTAGTAATAGATATCATCTACATCCAGAAAGTTAGATGATTTACAAGAAGCTTGTGCAGTTTGAAAAGGGGTTTTGATTGGTCAAAAAGTATATTAAGAGCCATGTGAGATCAAAGTCTTGTGCAAGTTTCAGATGAGTGAATTATCTACTTTCTCTTCATCATTAAATTGAATTTTACCATCATAGACTCACAGCATCCTCCGTCTACTATATATAGCTATATAGCATCAAGATACTCCAATCTATCACTATCACCACAGCTTTCCTGATATTTCTAATTAATAGACTACAGCTAGGGCTGCAAACAAGCCAAGCTAAATACTTGGGGGAATTTTCATGTTCAAGTTCAAGATCAAGTAAAATCAATATTTTGATGCTCAAGGCTACCTAAGCATAAAAATCAAAGCTCTAGCTCTAGCTCATGCCTGGGAAAATATGATTGCTTTTAAGTTTTCCCACCAAAATAATAAAAGATAAATATAAGATTAATGACATCCGTGAAATAATTAAATATGCTAATTTAATTAATATAGTACTATAAAATTGAAAAGCTAGCTAGCCAACTCTTCTTATTGACTTGATGAAGTACTTAGGCTGGCTCAGTCTTTAGAAAGATTGAGTCAAGCTCAGCCTCACTTTATCTAAAAGCTCAAACAGCTTGGAAGCAGGCTCATAACCTATTCCACACCGATACAAAAGGTGGAACAAATTTAAACTTTATAGTTATGCCATGAGCTTCAACTGTGTGCGCGCTAACTATAAATATAATTTTGGTCCATTATAAAAAATAAACAGTATTAGCACCTTGGGCTTTTCTTCTTTCTTGTGCACTTTCTTCTGTGATTTTAAGAACTCTTACTTCAACATGCGCTCTCCTACAATAGCATGTATGTTATATATCTGAGGTCAACAAATAATGAAATGAGGAAAAGCTGCTTTCAGACCTGTTACTTTGTTGCGATACACGGGTTCCGCATCTCGGCCACTCACAGTAGGATCCATCTCTCTAAACCTACAAATACATGTACGTTTAAGAAATTAAAACTGGTGAGCATATGAGGGGAGAGGAAGCACGAGATTCATATGTATAAATCTGAGAGAGTAGGTTTACATATTACCTCTACCAATCACTTTCCTTCTTTTTAGATATTTCTTCCTTGATATCTTGCCCACTAACTAAACCAGTCTTTGGCTCCTTTGTCAAATGCGTCAATCCTTTCCGCCTCTTCCTTGGAGGAGAAAGGTCTGAAACTTGAGATGCAAAACCTGAAGCACCGTCCTCAAAATTGTGACTTGATTTTCTAGCAGAGACATCAATGGAAATAGATGTATCCTTCTTGCCTTTCCTTAGAGGCGAAATAAATGCACGTGAAATATCCCGTTAAGTGAATACATGGGTCTAGAATGTGCAATATTTCTATTCAGATGGAGTGAGCTTACCAGTCCATTGCCGCCGTGGTGGGGACAAATTAGTGATATCTCCTTTCGACTTCAAAGCTTCGGAAAGGCGTTCCGGTGAAGGTGTAACATAGCGAGCTTTCCGGCCTCCAGAAGATTGTATTTTTGTTTGACGTTGAGGAGAAGGACTTCGATATCGCTTGTGGTGCTGCCGTGGTGGAGATAAATCTATATCTGCAGCAGTGGAAGGCCTCTGTTCATGTTTTGGTGATAAACTGGTGTTACGAGCCCTCCTTTTGCGAGGTGGGGAAATATCAGAATTTTGGTCATCAAGCTGGTAAATTTTACGATGCTGCCTTGGTGGAGATAAATCAGCATCTACTGCACTGAATTCCTTTCTCTCAAGTTTTAGCGTGGTATCGTCGTATGCCCCGCTTTTGCGAGCAGGAGAACTGTCAGAATTCTGATCATCAGAACTCGTGCGTATACGATTATCACTTACAGAAACCCAACCACTTCCATCCTCAGAAATGGCACCAAAAGGCCGTCTCATTCTAAGTTGCTCCAGTCTTTTCATATGTTTGACTTCAATACCCTCATCAACTTGTGGCTTCTCTTCATCTGCATATACCTCAAGTTAATTAACAAATTGAGATGATGTAAAGTACTTTATACAATGAAAACTTTGTTCTTAAGTTACCTGTTGAATCTTCTTCTTTTTCAAGGTCAACAGGCTTTTGCCAAACGGGATCTTCATCAACAATAATGACACCTGTGGCAGCAGGTTTAGGCCCTCTCTTCTTCTTCTTCTTCTTCTTTTTCATCTCTTCTTCGCTATTACTGGTATATTTCTTTAGGTATTCCTTCAGGGAAGATGTAGCCATTTTAATCACAAGAAGTTCCTGCACAGAATAGTTACAATCGGAAGGGGTCAAACACTTGAACTTCACATGTTTTCCAGCTGAACCAAATAAATGGCTTCTAAGTCAGCCGTAAGAATCCCATTTACTATTACAAAAAACTGCAGAAAATAAGGAAAAATAAATGCTATCAACAATCATTTTCAGAATCAGCAAACAAATCACACAGATAGCCAAGTTTCCTAAATTTTTAAACCTAAAACGGAAAGGGGATAAATGTGTCAGGTGTTTGTGCTATAAATTTGATCCAAATTGACATAATACTCACAGGATTAGAACACATAAATTAGTAAATAATCAAATCCAGCAAAGGAATTTTTTTTAAACTCTACCACTAATATTGAACTCGAAGATCAGAGGAATCGAATCGCAAGAAACCCCAACCAACGAACAGTAACCCGGCTATTCAAACTTGCACTGGCTAGCACTCCAAAATTGTCTGGAAACAACACCCAAAGTAAGATTAACAAATTGTCTGAATCTTCAGTCTTGACATAAATCAGCCTCTCACGGTGTGGGTTTTCTTGTGGTGGTCGGCGGAATCCTCGACATTGTGGTCTCCAGGCATCTGCAATTCAATCGTACGACGCTGTGGTAGTGCCAAATTTCTTGGACTGCTCCAGTGGGTGATAGCCCCGGTGGGTGACAGGTTGGGTCGCGATGACTGCGCGACTGTCTCTATGCTTGGTACCGACGATCTATATTGTCGATGAGTAATTGGGAATTTCTATGGTGAACCCGACGTGAAGGCGACATGAATTTGGGTGATTTGGGTCTCTGGTAGTAGTAATCCATTGATTTGGGTTGTGATAGACTTGGGCCTAAATTAGGTATTTTGGTATTGGGCCTCAGTGAATTGGGGCTAATTTGGGTTTCCTTTTTTTCTTTTTTTTATATTTGGACAGTGAGGATAAATTACTCTAGTTATTGGGTTTGTTGGACTTTTGTGTGGGGTATTGGTTTACTTGGATACTTGTGGAGGTGTTGATTTGGATAGATATTCTGTTTTATTTTTATGGCTGATGAGCAAAAAAATTTAGTTGTGACTGATGTCATTCCAGTAATGTCCAAAATCACATAACATAAGTTAATTAGTCCAAATTATTTAGATTGGTGTAAGACGGTTCGGATTTATTTGCATAGTATCTCTATGGACAATAAACTGACTGAAGAGCTGCCAACGGATAATACTAGCAAGACATGACTAAGAGATGATGCCTGATTATTCTTACAAATTCAGAATTTCATTGACACTGAGATAGTCAGTTTGATTAATCACTATAAGTATGTTAAGGAATTGATGGAATATTTAGAATTTATGTACTCTGGGAAATGAATGTGTCACGTATTTATGAACTCTGAAAGGATTTTTACCGTGCTAAACAATACGATCAGTCTCTTCAGGCTTATTTTATGAATTTCAATAAAACTATGAAGAACTAAATGTCTTGTTACCTTTTAGCTCTGATGTGAAAGTTCAGCAAGCTCAGCGGGAGCAAATGGTTGTGATGAGTTTTCTTGCTGGTCTTAATTCTTAGTTTGAAATTGCTAAATCCCAGATTCTCTCCAGTGCTGAGATTTCTTCTCTGCGAGAGACCTTTATTAAAATACTTCGCATAGATACTAGTGCTTATGTTGCTTCATCCGTTCAATCTTCTAGTGCTCTTATTAGTTGTAGAGGTCATACAAAAGGTGGGGGTACAAGTAATCGGGACAATCGAAGTCAGGATGAAAAGAGAGTTGTATGTTATTACCGTTATGAGTCGGGTCATACCAAACGCACATGTCAAAAATTGCACAATAAATCTCTAAAGTCACTCTCAGCTCATGTTGCAACTACTACTGCTACACCCATCTCATCCTCTGAGCAGACCATTACGATTTCTGTAGATAAATTTGCTCAATTCACTCAGTACCGAGACGTATTGAAGAATTCATCTCAACCTTTCTCTGTCGTTGCTTAGATAGGTAAACCCGATACATGTCTTCTTTCCTCTTCCTCAAAATGGGTCATTGATTCTGGTGCCACAGATCATATGACAGATAATCCTAGTCTCTTCTCTACTTTTCAGTCGCATACATCTCCTTCCAATGTTACTTTAGCTGATGGTTCTACTTTTCCTGTTCTTGGTTTTAACACTATTAATCCAACTCCATTAATTTCTTTATCTTCCATCTTAAGTCTACCACAATTTTATTTCAATTTAATGTCTGTGAGCAAGCTTACTCGGACCCTGAACTACTGTATTTCATTTTCCCTGATTAGTATCTTTTTCAGGATTTTATGACGAAGAAGATTATTGGTAAATGACATGAATCAAGCGGTCTCTATATTCTAGATACCTAGGTGCCCAAACCTATTGTGTGTTCCGGTATCTTAACTCCTTTTGAAGCACATTATCGGTTGGGACATCCATCTTTATCTTTGTTGAAGAAATTACGTCCTCAATTTAAGGATGTATCGTCTTTAGATTGTGATTCAGTCAGTTTGTAAAACATCATCTTCTGTCCTCAGTTCTTTAAGTCAATAAGAGAGCTCGTTTTCCTTTTGAGTTAATCCATTCAGATGTTTGGAGTCCTTGTCTTATTGTGTCCAAAACTAGATTTCGGTATTTGTTACCTTTGTTGATGATTTCTCTCATGTGACTTGGCTTTATTTAATGAAGAATCGTTCTGAATTATTTTCTCATTTTAGTGCCTTTCGTGTTGAAATTAAAACACGATTTAATGTTTCTGTGCACACATTGAGAAGTGATAATGTCAAAGAATATTTTCCCGATTCTTTTCAGACTTACATGCTTTAGAATGGTATTCTTCACCAATCTTCGTGTGTTGACACACCCTCTCAAAATGGTGTGGCTAAAAGAAAAAATAGACATCTTCTTGAGACAGCAAGGGCACTCCCGTTCCAAATGCATGTTCCTAAACCTTTTTGGGCTTATGTGATCTCCACACCCTGTTTCTTGATTAATTGGATACCTTCATCTGTTCTTTATGGTGAGACTCCTTATAGTGTCATTTTTCCTACTAAACCCTTTTTTTTCTATTGAACCTATAATCTTTGGTAGTACTTGTTATGCTCGCGGTGTTCGTCCCCAAATAACTAAATTAGATCCCAAATCCTTAAAATGTGTTTTTCTGTGTTACTCTCATCTACAAAAAGGGTATCGATGCTACTGTCAGAGTTTTAACAAGTATCTTGTGTTAGCTGATGTTAGATTTCTAGAACATATTCCTTTCTTTTCCACTTTTTATACTTCTTTCAATAAGAGGGAGGATGATGATCTGTTGGTTTATCGTGTCACTCATCAGTTAACTAATATTGCTTATATACCCGTTGATCCCATACCACCACTACCACCTATTCACCATGTCTATTCCAGACGATGTGACCCTCCTGATGCATGTTCATCACTTGTCTCTTCTTGGGTATCGGATCCAGTGTCCCGTGACTTGATCTACCTATTGCTCTTCGCAAAGGTAAACGTTAGTGTACTTATCCTATTGCATCTTTTATTTCTTACGATCACTTGTCTTCTTCTTGTTGTTCTTTTGTTGCCTTCCTTGACTCTATGACTCTTTCGAAAACTGTTCATGAAGTCTCATCCCATCCTAGTTGGCGTGGTGCTCTGATAGAGTAGATGAATGCTTTAGATGCTAATGGTACTTGGGATTTAGTGAACTTACATGCAGGGAAAAAGACTTGGATGTAAGTGGGTATTTATCAAATACCTAAATTATCAATTAAACTAATGAAAGTAAGTAAATGTATTTTTCAAATATGTGAGATGCATTGCTAAGATATTGAATCTCCCTTATTATTTCATTTTTAGCGTAAGAATTAAAGTAACAATTTGAAATCATTCACATTGGTCAATGTTACTAATTTAATTGAAAGTCTTTCTCGATAGCGATCAAATCTAATCCCCTCATGTGACATTTCTATCTCTCGATGAAAGATTCATACATGATAAATGCATTAACAAGTGCTAGAATATCTATTGAACTATATGCAACCATCTCTATTTTCTATCAAACCTTACAATATTTATTATATTGTGCTTAAACCTTATTGTCTCTCTTGATAACAATAAAATCCACTAACAATTCAATTGGTGATCAAGAAATTGAAAAGAATGATAAAAACGATAATAAACATCCACGAATCGAATTGAATCAAATCAAATTAAATTCAAAATAATTAATTAAAAAAAATATCATAACAAGGGTTCATCTCATCATAAGAATGTATAAAACTAGCATAACATATCGAAATTATAAGAAATCATATATAAGTGAAAAGCATGCATGAATTGAATTGCGTGAAAACTTCCTACGTTTTTGGGAATTCCATTTCGATCAAAATATCCGAAGTGAGTCTTAGAGCTGGTAGGGGCGGACATACCAACCTATCCACTGAAAGATAAAAATGAATCTTGAAATCTAGAATCTCTTCAATGATTTTTTGATGAATCTCCACTTACACCTTCTCTTCTTTTCCCAAAATCAAGTTTGAATCTTCACTTGATTGAATTCTTGCAAGTCCCCTTCAATTATCTCACAAAAACTATGAATTTTCCTCATTTGATGGTAATAATTGATGAACATTGGAGTATGAGATGTATATGTGAGGTATCTAATATGATGTTCATTATATTAATGAAAAATTTTAATCGCTTCCGCATTTATGATTTTAAGAGAATATTAAACGATAATACTTACATATCAGGTATCTAAATTTGGGGTATTACAGTTGAGGTAGTAGCAAAACAATCGTAAGTGCTACCTTTGTTCGGCTAACTTTTGGTCATCGATTAGGAATTGGAAGGTAATTGAGTGGTGGATGAAAATAAACCATATCCCATTGTTAGTTTTCCATTTGGGGATTTGAAAAACAAAGAGAGCAACACGAGTGATGAGAGAATATATTGACATAACTGAGATTTGGTTTTGTTTGGGAAAATAGACTTTAAAAGTTGAAATACATGACTTGGTTCGAGTAGCGTTGGTGGAATTGAGAATGTTTATCATACACACACTCAAGATCAAGATATACAATATGTAGAGTTCTAAAATAATTTTTAGTTCTTGTAACTTATTAACTTATTTAAATTTTGTGATCGTGATATGCATTTTCAGGAAACGTTGAATTGTTTATATCTAGTTGAGTATAATTGTTAGATTCTAGTTAAGCATCTATTATGCTTTATTCGAGGACGAACACATGTTTAAGTTTGAGAGTGTTTGATAAGTGTAAAATGTACACTTATTTAAGCCCATGTTCTAAAATGCGCGAAAATGCGTCACCTAGGAGCGACGTGGGTCGAAAACGCGCCGAATTCGATAAATGCGCGAAAAATGCGTTTTCCATCTAAAATGCGGGAATAATGTGCGCCTAGGCGCTCATTATCCCACCTTATCCTTTTTTTTAATCTATTTTTTTTAATATATTAAAAAATCTATTTTTTTATATAAAAATATATTTAATGCCTTAAAAATACGAAACGCATTATGACGCTTATTCTTCGCATTGACACGCCTAAACTTGTGAT